CACTTTAAAGGATGCTAACCACAATCTCTCAACTCTCACATGACCTAATCTCTTGTCTGTTTCAGCATACAGCATCTCTTTGTTCCAAACTGGGGGCATCACATGCCCCATTAGTCAAATACCTTTCATTAATGTAACCACACTTAGAAACTTGCACACATAAATGAATTGTATTAGAGGGAAGGAATTAGGCCCTCTGCCATGCAAGAAAAGCTCACACGTTTTATGATACACAGGTATTGGAATGAAGCGTGTACCACATTCTCAGAGAAACGAACATTCCTTCAAATCATGTCTCCTGCTCTGAATATGACACTGCTTTTTGCAATATTCAAGTTCATTTCCTCTCTGTATAACCCCACCTGACAGGAACACACACAAACTCCACATTGTTAGCTAGTGAACTACTTTTGGAGGGAAAAATCTGATGGTACAGATAAACAATTGACAAATAAAGGGGGTGAAAGGTAAAGTATATAATTAATTGATGTCAAAGTTTCTGTCTTTTGGGGGTCAAATGATTTCAGAGGAACCGAAATTCCCCTGTAGAGTAGACAGAAAAGAGGAAAAACAGCATGTGGTGATGCTCTTTTTATTTTTGTTATATATTACTTATTATTTTATTTATTTTAAGATTTTTTTTTTAGTTTTAACTAACTAAAAACTAACAGCAACAAAACACAAAAAAGCAGGCAAGAATATCCTGGGTTTATTAAAACTAAAAATTAACATATTGCAAAGACTCTTGTTAGTGAGGTTCTCCATCACTACATGACTAGAGAGGCTGCAAAGTGCTTGGTGTCACTGTCAGCAGAGAAAGGTAGGATGGAGCAACTTCCAAAAGTCATGGTGCTGCATTCCCTCCATCCCAGCTGTGAGCTCCTGTCAACCCCTTTGTGTCTGAGCAGTTGGCAGTCTCATTGCTGCATAACGGGTCCTGCAGACTCAACAGGGCAGCACAGTTTTAGGCCAGCTTAAGTAGATTGCTAAACTGCACCTTAAAAATGTCAGCTGCATAGAGGAGTAATTTTAAATCCATTTGTGAGTACCTCAGACACTGCATGTGAAGCAAATGGGATTATTTGTACTTTGGTAGCATTTTAATCAAACAGTCTTTGGTGGAAGTTTTGTGTACAATGATGGGATCTCAGGAAGATTCTCAGTAGTTGGTCAGAACAGCATAGGGCCAAGTTCTTAGGGTTTCAAATTTGTTGGAGTAACTTTTGTGCAGGTCTACACCGGAACGTGTTTTTCACCATGAAAACTCATCACCAAGCAACCTGTCCCTTGATGTTGCCATATTAAGTACAGTATGTTGGCAAAATAATCGTAACATAAAACCAAAAGAGTGGAAGAGGAAGGATTCTCTCTTTCCTTGGCCCAGTGTCTTGCAATATAAGAAATTCTTGACATTAAACTCTCCACCCCCAAAGAACACCCAGTAAAACAAACCACCAAGAAAACCCAACACCAAGTTCACCAAGCATTAAGTTTGAACCAGGATATGATACATTCAATGGATTTGAACCAGAGAAGGACTTAATATCAGAATCTTGTGAGGTAGATAAGGTTTATATAATGTTGGTGTAAACAAGGTTTTACCCTTGGACTGCAGGTAAAGGTTACACATGAAGAGTAAATGCATGGAGGCATACCTGTCCTTTGATTTTGCTATCGAAGTAACAAATTTTGGTAACAAATCCTTTTTATTCATTTTAGCAGAGGTATTTCAACTGTAGTTTTGTGATCCTAATGTAAGCTCCCTGTTGTAATTTCAATGAGGTGCATGCTTTTCTAATGTCTTCATAAGGCTTGTATTTGGCCCTGAATCCCAGTACCCAGTCACTGGTAACCTTTCACCAGCATTTGTTAATTCAGTATTCTTACTTGCTAGCAACCATAAATTAGAATTACCTTAAAGATTTTTAAATATATTGTCTAGCCCATGAGGAATAGATATAAAAAATGTTCTTACTGGACAAGCAGAACCTACAGAGGCAGCAATTAAATCATAAGACTGAAAATAAAAACTCTTATGATCTACACCATTGTCTCCAAATTGTATGATTAAGGAGATACTAAATTATACATTATAGGGGAAGAGTACAACTACAAATCTTAACTAAGCATATTTTTTGTAGTTCTATTCATTATACTAATGTACAGGCTTATATTTAGCAGCTTTAGGAGCATTAGAAAACAGGAAAACTACAGATTACAACCCGTATGGGTATGCTCAGGTTGGCAGCAGTGATTAATAGTATCTCCTGGGTTTGCCTTTTGTAACCAAACAATATTTAAGACATATTAAGATGATTTACGTCACAAGGAATTCAAACACTGTACTTACTTTAACAAAGCCTACTGCATTAAAAGGAATGTCGAACGGACTAACATGTATTAGTTCAGTCATTATCACAGGGAAACAGGCAAGGTCTCAGGTTAAAATGGAATATCTCAGTTTGCAGCACAGCACCCTGAATTGAAATTATACTTAACCCATTCTACCTAAATATCCTAAGTAATTTCCTGTCAATAAAGACTACATTCATCCAGGTCAGTGGGACATCTTACTTTGCACAGTCCTATTAGATTTAATAAAGTGACTGTGAAGTACCACTTAATGGAAAAGTGTAGATCTGCAAGAATTGTGACATTAATGAGGGCTCCTTTGATAGGAGTGATCTACCACTCTTGTCATATCTCATTGCCTATTCCCATCCCCTCCTTTTCCAAGGATGATACAAGTGTGATGAATCAGGTAAGGGAACTGATTTTGCAAAAATCTTACCTGACAAAATGAATGTTAGTTTCCAGCTAGATAATTTCCCTCAGCTTAGTTCACCTGGCATAAGGCAATAATATATATCTGAAAGTAGGGAGTAGTAAACAACACTTTTAAGTTCTAAGACTATTTTGAGGTAAACAAACTTTTTAAACCTGGTTGAATCGTTCCATGCCTAATTCTGATGTTTTGCTCTATAGTAGGAGAGGTCATGAATGCCAACTGTATTTAATCATTGTAGTAGACCTGAACAATTTGATGTCAAGCATGTAAAAATGTTGAAAGTATAGGCTATCAAGCCTTTCAAGTAAGAGCTCATTGTTGAAAATATTTTTCAACGTTATTGTAAAAAATACATTCTCAAGCACTTGGAGTTATCAGTCAATTTTAACATTTGCTATGCTAAATGTTAAGGAGATTGCCACGGGGCTTCTTTTATTCATGTAAGGAAAATGGTGCAGAAATATTAATGTCATAACAATATACCAGTAGATTGTAATTGGTTTGTGCTGGATTGTAGACAACACACCAACTCTCTTAAACTAGAATACAGAGTTTGTATTAAATCCCTTTGTATCTCACTTGGGTCATTCAAAGGATAAATATTTGGAAGTTTCTGCTTTTATTACATTTTTTCCTGCTAATGTATTTTGGCCTGTAGGTTTCTATTTTAAAGTATTGTCTCCATCTGTACTCTGTTATTCGGAGTACTTTTGTTGTCATTTTTTTTTAACTTGTAAATGCTTCCAGAGAGACCGATTATGTCTACATAACACTGTGTAGCTCTGCACACAGGTACCCCAGTTAGCTGTAACAAGCTTAGCTAACTGGAATAGATAACATGCTCTATTAATGAAGCTGTTCCTTCTGGGATCTAAGATGATACATTAAAAATTAGCCTGAATATTACTTCAGGGCAGTGGATGGTTCTTAGCTGACCCATGTTAAAGAGAAGAATCTGTTTAAATTTTGGAGGATAAAGATAAGATGCAAGTTAATCAGTCTGCGGATTAACCTCTCTGTGACACAGAGAGGTCACACTGCAGGGTTTATATATTAACTGCAAGAGTTATGAAATGATCAAATAGCTGAAACCTGAAGCTCAAAATTTAATGATTTATAAGTTGTACATTATTAACAGTGTTTGTAATTAAAACTGGAAGAGCTTTTCAAAGAATATGATGGATTGTCTGTAATTTGAAGTCTTTAATTAAGACCGAAGGTACCTCTGAAAAGATGTTGTCAAATTTGGTAATAAAAGAACTATCAGGAGAAATTCAAGGGTCTTAAACTTTATGAATTTTTCATCACATCGGACTTTCTTTTATGGCATTCATTCATCTAGAAAAGTGGAAAAATACAGTGGACATTTATAAAGGTCATATAAATATGGTTTCTTATAATGGCAATTGAATTGCTTTCTGTTCTGCCAGCATAACTGGTTTTGGAAACAACTCAAGACCTCTCAGGAACATAGACAAAAATTAATTTTGCTATTCTAAGCATGGAGGGGGGGGAAAGTCTGGAAGTAAATGAAGACATAGGGAGAAGAAGTAGGGCTGAAATGGGATGACAGAATTTCATGTAACGCTTACTGCCGCTTTTCTCCTGCCCTGGTTCCACAACGCAGTAACTCCTAGCCCATACAGCCTGATCTTTCTGGAAGTATTAGCCAATCAAAGTGTCTTTCCAGACATATAGCATAGCTACAGGAAGATAGTTAAACTATGGATGTTTTCCTGTCCAGTCCAGTTTACTGTCTAGGCAACTGCCTCTACTGCCAATGCCCGGAGTTCGCCCTAACTACACTAGTAATTAATTTATCTATTTCAGGCTCATTCAGAATCCTGCCTTAGTAACCATTACAAGGGCATCTATAATAATCTGCCGTACAACTTTAAAATCAACAATTCATATATTGCATAAAGACTTTGTTTTGTTTATGAGGCTTTATGAAGTTAGGAACATCTATACAGAGGTGTTGTATGTCAACTGACAAATATGTTTTTTCCTATACTCCTATGCAAACAATAGATATCCTTGGCGCACACGAACAGCATTATTTTGACTCACAGGAATGAAGTATTCACAGAAAGATAAATGCACTTCAATGTACTTTCTAAATAGCACTACTGAAAAGCAGTAAATGTAAGAACAAAAAATATTCATCGATTTAACATGAGATGCTTGCCATCATAAATGCTTCAGAGAACACTTCATCAGTTAGCATATTTCTAGCATTTTTCATTTCCAGAAGACATGGCAATTGATGGATCTCTTGTCTACCTAATTGTCAACAAACATGGAGCCTTCAGTTTCAAATATTTTTCCCCTTTGCTTTTCTAACACCTGAAAATGAATCTATCTTTATCTCCAGATCCTTTGTAATACATTTACAATCACAAGAGCAGCAAGCAAACAAATACACAGACAAAGCCAGTCAAAAACCAAGATGAGTTTAATTGCCTGTGCTGAACTATGCCTGTCCCACAAATACAGGATTACCTTTGGCAGCCAGGAAGGCAGGAAAGTATCCCTAATAAGCTCTGTAGCCTTCCTTCTTGCTCTCAAATCCACATGGTTTTGCAGCATGCCCAGAAAACTATCCAAGTTTCAGCTAGTACAGCTCAGAGCTCATTAGACTTGTGACAGATATGCACTGCTGCTGCCTAGAGTTGCAAAGAAATTACTGACAATTGTTCAGAATTTTCCTGACACTTCTCTGTAAAATTAAATGATTTATTGATATCACTGATTGATGGGATCAAAACATTCAAGGTGACACATGAAATCTTTTGAAACTGTGGCAATAACTGAGCAAATTTCTAGTCATTCATATCTCTATAGTCTTCATCCCCTTGGCAGTTCACTTGTCAGGAGCAAGGTGTCCAACCTTCTCTTAACCTCTGATTCCTTTACAACCTAATGAATAAGAAAATAAGGAATTTCAGTCTGCTGCTAAATTAGCATGAGTGTTTTGAATATAGTAGAAAATAGCACAAACCTGTTCAAGTGGTTTTTCTATCTTTGTTCTGCTACAGAATAAACCTTTTCTTCAGGCTTCAACACATTAGGTTGCCTGGGAACATCAAAGAGGACAAATTAAATAAAAAGGTGTATTATCTCCATAATAGAACACCTATTATTAAGAATATTAAAAATCAAAAGACTTGCCTTCAAAATATAAAGCATAGAAACACAATGAGAAAAAAAGTTTAAAGTATCAGTAGTTACATATTTAATTATGTCAAACGTTATACAATTTAAATATTTCAAAGCGAATTCAGCTTTTGTTTTAAACTGGAAAAGTTTCCTCAAATGGCGATGTTTTAAAATTTCCTTCTGTGTCTGAAGGCCTGTCCTAAAAAAAACCCCAAAAACAAATAGGAGGGGTGCTGAGAGGTATGTTTCCTAAGTCTTCTATCTTAGAATATGTTAGACAGTATACAATAAGAATCTCTTTTTCTCCAGGCTATGGAAGAAGTCTGGATAACAAGTTCAGATACAGGTTACTGGTTTAGATATGTGGGTGTAGATGGAGATGAATCCAATGTCTAGTGTCCAATCCAGCATTATCTGAAGTCAAGAAGAATCTATTGTCTACTTTTCAGACATTAAATTAACCCCTTGGTCATGAACAGTAAAGCAAATCTTGTGATATTATACTTTTAGATGTACAACATCCTTTGAGAAAATCTGTGTAAAAGATACGAACTAATCCATAGCAGTGGGGATAACGTAGCATCAGATTACGTAGCATCATTTGGTGAAACAATGCAGTTCATCAGTCATACACTGTGCAATATTTTAAAGGTTTTCTCAACATGCTGCAGCAAATTTATTTTAAAAATGGAACATTAAAAGAAATATCCTGCTATGAAAGTAGCTTGTTTTCATCCTAACAATGACGTGAGACTGCAGTCAAAAGAGTAAATATTGTGATGAGGTAATGTATGACTATCATCGTCATTGTTTCCAAACAGAGCTTTATTTGGGACTGTGAGATTTGCTATGTTCCCTTCAGTGACAGCTCTATAAACACATATGGGGAAGAGGCAGGAAGAGGAGGAGGGAAAAATGTTGGAACTTACGTACAAACAAAGATTTATGCCGTTAAATTTGTCAGTTGATTGCTTTAAATATAGGACACTTTCGTTCACAAAAGTGTAGGTGGCAAATCTGCATTAGCTGTGGATTTTGTTTGACTCAAATTGAGGAGCAAGGGTAAATCCTAGTTCTATCAGCATAAGTGAAAAAAAAACAACCAACCAAACAAAAAAAAACCAACAAAACCCCAGCCTTCTTCATAAACGGGTTTCTCTTAGGATTGCTTTTCAAGTTGAGTGCCACTGAGTGAAGGAAAAGTGAGGTAGTGTACTCTTCTAGAACAAGAAGCATCTGAACCACAAATGCTCAACAAAATATTGTTATTAATTACACTGTCTTTTCCAATCAGCTCTCTGAAGAGCACTTTTACATTTGTTATTCTAAAATCCAACCAAAGGGCAAAAGCAGACAGTTTGCTATGATGTGCTGAAGGTGAATTTCAATGGCTTTCCTGAAGAGGAGCTTGTTTCCACTTGTGATATCCACTTATGTGGAGACCTTGGTATCACAGGAACTTTGTCTTAGTAAGCATTTACTAACTATACTTCAGTTTTATAGTGGACTTAGAAGCTTACTAATTTAACACAGCAATTAATCAAATTCAATCTTTTACTGGAATGATGAGTGAATTTCCAGAGGGTTTGTACTATGTGGAAATAAGGGCACAAAGCCAAGTTCCTTTCTTCCTGAAGAGGGATATGGTTGAGAGATAGCCTTTCTCTAGCCTTCATAGCAAATCCACCAACAGATATTGAAGAAATTGTCAGAAATTTTATAATTATTTTTGCACACCATTTTTTTTTCCATTAGAATCAAAACAATGAAGGATATGTCTAAATATGTACATCAGATTTAGAATTTTTATGTCTGCTTTTTCCCCCTACATTTTACTTTAGAACCAAATGTGCCCTGCTGTTCCAAAATGACTTTTGAAGTATCGCAGATAAAGTATGTTCGTACAACAACATGAAGAGATTATAATAATCATTTTCAAGAAAACAAAGTCAACAATAAAAGAGTGGTCACTGTAAATATATATATTTAAATTAACTCACCAAAGTATAAACTATTACAAACAGATTTCATACTTTTTCCTGCCATGTGATTTCTCTGTCAGACTAATTACTCTATTGCTTCCTTAGAAATTTCCCAATTTAGTTTGCACATTTGGTAATAGAGAGAAGGTACCTCAGAGCTGTCAGTTTAAAGGTTAGGATCTACATTCAAAAACCAAAAGAGTGGCATTAAAAAGCATAAGGAAAAAGGTATGAGATTCTGACAAAATGTTCCATCTTAAAATTAATGTATTTTAAGGTTTCCTCTTGCATGGATAGTTTTTTCTTTTCCTTCCCCTCATTCCCCTCCCACCCCCCACACTAGAGAGAAAAATGCGGTGGCATAGTGTGAAGATGAAGTAGTTTTTATTCCAATTTCATAGCTCTTACCTAACCTTCTTGTCTTCTATTTCTCAGGAGTCCTATTTTCCAACATCGTAACATCTGCTTTTTGTTTCTTGACCTTGCACTTTCCCTCTTTCCCTCCAGGCTATTCACTTATTTCCATTCCACTTCCTCCTCCTCACCAGGACATCAGCAGGGGGAAGTGCAGGTTAAGCAGAAGACAGAAACTCTGTGTTTATAGTCTTGATTTTCACTTGGCATTCCAGACAAACTTCTGCCTTCCCTCTTCCTCCTACAGAAGCCAAATACTATGTAGTTTCAACTCAATATGTGAAAAATGCATTTTTTAACAGTTGTTCGTTTGCTCTTGTTTTTCCCCTGACCCCTCTAGGTTTGGTCCAACCTTTTAATTCCCATATGAAATGACACACTCTTGATACTAGACAGAGAGCACCATCTCAGCCCTGATGAACTCCTTTTCTTTGCTCAAAAGAAGGAAAATGCTAGAGTTTTGTAATGGACTTTTTTAGCATCAACTTTTTTTTTTTTTTTAAGAAAATATGATATTTTAGCTTAAAATTCACCCCAAATACTCAGCCTGGGGCAGACACCTCACATAGACACCTTTCAGTGCTGTGGTTTAATTTCAGCGATTATGAAAAAAATGCAGATAGAGTTTTATAGAGACTGTAACCTCACAACAATTAAATACAATGGAGATGAGTGGAAAACTATATTAGTTTAATGAATTAATTTCAACTTTTGTTCACTATCATTTTTCCACAGGTTAAATATCATGGTAGTTTAGGGTCCTCCAGCTTCAATAACTGTAGGGATAAAGCTGGGACCTAATTGATTTTTGCTTGACATGTTTTGCTTTTTAAAATGTGGATGCAAGACAATAAAAACTTGTCAGTTGTCTACAGAGAAAATACAAATTTACAGGAGAGTCAATACAAGAAACTCTCATTTTCTTTCACAGGAAAAGGAAAAAAAAAACAAAACTAAAAGAGAACAAAGTTCTCCCAGTCAGTTATAGATCAGGTTTTTCTCATTTAAAGATGATTCCTTTCTACCTGACAACTTCTAATAGTAGAATAAGTGTAATTTATTTCAGCTTGTTTTGAAGGGTATAGGTGTTAGTGACAATAATATATGTTCTATTGTACTTGTTTTGCATTATCAAGTTCCTATCTAATTTTTGCTCCTATATTTGCAAATAAAAGGAATGTATTTAAAAATTATTTAGTAAACAGGGAGAATAAGGCAGGAAATTGCATGATAAATCAGATAAAGACAAAAGTAAACATTTAATTAACTTTCTTCCTTCTCTTCCTTTAACCTTGCCGGATATTTTGTCCCTTGTTCCAAGGTAAACATATCTGACAAAGCAACACTTTCAGAATTTCTGTTTAAATTTTTATTCCTAAATGAAAGGAAGAGGATAAGCATAAATTAAACTGTCAATCAATGCTTTTTATGAAAAAAGTTTATTTCTAATAATTTGGGAACTGCTTGGAAGACCTTTTCTGGTTATGAAGAAAATAATTCATAGCTGAGAATTTATGTCTCAATCTGTAGTTGATTGATTGGTTGATAAATTGATTTTTAAACAAGAAAGGGGAAGCTTTTACTTAGTACTTACTAGTGGTTAAAATTGGTATAGTCTATATCAAAATATTGCATCATTTTTATATTTAAATATGCGTATTTATAATTT